CCAAATGCTTGATTAAAAGGTTGCATAGACATTATAATGCCTTTCTGCAGGGTTGTATTGAAGATGATACTAATAACAGGGGTGTGCAATTAGAAAAATCAATTACTAGCCCACGGGCTAGTGGCAGCTATAAAGTTACTAGTCCCAAGTGAAAAGTTACTAGCCCAAATATAGGTGCAAAAATTAAAATAAAAAAAACTATTTGTTGAAAAGAAATTAATTGTTGAAAAAGTCAGGGTACTGAGGTCATTCTTTTTGAAATTAAACTTTAACTCTCACTATGAAATTAAATCATGTATAAATTATAATGAAAGAAGATTAAAATGAATTTAAATGAATTATCTTCCCTTTTTCTGAACATTGCACTAGCTCATTTAGAATGAAATTTAAATCATTTTGTTTTCAACCATTGTCTTAAACCATTAAATACACTATAAATATATTTTATGTGAGTCATAAAACACTTATCTTTCAGTTGATTGAGTGATCGTATATAATTTGAGATATCTGCATGTATTTACCACAAACGAAAGAATAGAGGAAATTTGGATTAGGAAAAAACGATCGTTTTTGGAAGTAAATAAGTCAGGTAGTGCTGCAAAACAGATAAAATTATGAAGATTTATTGAGAGTAGGAGCATGTTGTCAGAAAAATTTTCATTGGTTGGGAATTTGATAGCATAAACGATTGAAAATACAGGTTGTGCTTTTCATGTATTGCGTGTGTAGTTATAATTTTTACTAGCCCGACGGGCTACCTCCATGCAGAAAATCACTAGCCCGACCCCAAAAAGTGGTAGCCCCGGGCGTCGGGCGATGCTAATTGCACACCCCTGAATAAAATGCACATATATCCCCTTGACACATTTTTCTGATGCATGATTGATGCTTTTATGGGGTATCAACATAGGACTAAGGTTCTTATACATGTATCCTAATGCATATTGATTAAAAACCATAGCTGATTATTTTATATTTACATAAATAGAATTGTTCATTTATATATATACATATATAAATCACATTGGTGTAAAAGGAACACGGGTTCAATTTAAATCAACTCTCAGCAGTGATATTGATTCTAGTATCTAAATATTGTTTTTGGTCAATTAAAATTTACAAATAATTATATGTAGTACATTTCTTGCTCTTTTATGCATCAAAAAATTCCATTCCTCCTCATACACATGATAACCTGTACGCATAGGTTTATGCTTATTTCTATTACCATAAACATATACATTTAGGGAAAATATGAAAATATCAAAATAACAAGAAATAATCTTAATCAAAATTAAAAGTACCATTTTCAAAATCTTTCTTTCTTTTAGGAGAAAGAGCAAAATTAGGCTGTAGTGTCGAGAAGTCTTTGTTAGACGGGATATTAGAGACGTCGTCTGCCACTGTTGTCATGTTGCTTAACACACCGTCCGTGTGTTGTCGTTTTCTGGGTGTTTGCTCTATTTTTCCCGTTGTCTACCACACGACAGGGCGACAGAAAATTCCAGCGGCAGAAAATCAAAATGTGTGGATCAGCTGAATCACAAATCGTTAGTTTTGTCGATTTCGGTTTGTCTAATGACCCATTGTATATAAAGAAAATTAGATTATTAATCAAACATCTCTAATACCCTTTATCAATATTTATCGCATATTATTTGTTCATAATTTAAATATAAAATTGTTTAAATAATAATTTAATAAATAAGCATTTAAATGCAATTTTAAAAATGAAACACACTTCTTTCTGTACTTATATTTTCGTCATTTAGCCTTACCATAAATCTCTATTTCGATTACCCAATACAATTTCGCGTTACATTTTACAATCGGCGTGTTCATCAACATGGCGGATGATCAAGGTATTTTTGCCATTGGGGATTTTTTGTTTTGTTTTATTGTTATTTAACATTACTTGGTCAAAATGCCCATGTTTGTGGTTTAGCTTATAGTATGTGTTTTTTTTCTAATGACATTATCTGTATTCCGAAACCGTCATTGCCAAAGTGAAAGTAAAACAAGTTTAGGTTTCTTGAAAAATTGAATTTTCATCCCTTTAGTGTCATAGAAATAAAAAAAAATAAAGAATTTAACATATTTTACTGCCGGTATGAAAGACACATAGAATCATTTTTGAAAAGAGTGGGAGAGGGAAGCAAGAAAAAAATGACAACTTACCTGAGAAATCTTAACCAGGTTTGATTCAACAGGTTGGGCACAATTCCTTATTCTAGAAGTATTACAGTTTACTATAAAACCATGTCACCACAGATACTTGGGTCTTGGTTTGTATATATGTATGTATCTTATTGATATGTAAAAATAATACTGTAAAGGTATGCAGGTTCCGTAATGGTGTCTGCTCAACTTACTTGTTTACATGGCTTAATTGTTCTTTTTAAAAAAGCTACCAATATTTCTGCACAAGATGTCTCGGAACATTGATTTATTATTTATTGTAAGAACCCTCACATTCCTAAAAGGTGATTTTTAAACACTTTTACAAACTTTACGTTAACATTCCCGGACCTAAGTGCAAATACTAAAACCTGATTCAAAACGACAAATTTCGACCATTCAGACACTCTGAAATTCCTTAGGCATTCTGGGAAATTTAAATATCACTTGAATTATCCAAGAACTATTTATGATTTCCAGGAATGCCTCTAGAGGAATTATTTGTACATGAAGATGTGAGAGTTTTTAAAATAAGTAATCAGTGTTCTGAGACATCCGGTGCAGAAATATCGGTAGGTGGAACCTTTTTTTTTAAAGAACAAGCCATTTTAACAAGCAAGTTGAGCAGATGCCATTACGGAGCCTGCATACCTTAACTTTTTTTACATATCAATATTGAATAAGGTACATACATATTTATAAACCAAGACCCAAGTACCTGTGCATATCACAAGTAAATTATCGATAAGCAATTTAGGGACACCTTACTTAATGAATGTATTTTTATCACCTTTTGAAATAATCTAATAATCATATTTACAAGTGATGATACAAATACATGACATACATAAGTGTGCTGATGGCAGACATTTGTTGTTTTTAGCAATGGAGCTTGAATCTGAGGCTGGCGGTACAGTGAATACAGGAAATGTCAAAAAAAATATTCCAATCAAACTGAAAACTCAACCTAAACCAACGAGAGGGAGACCAAGGAAAGCCTCAAAGATCAAGAAGGAGGCCTCACCACCTGATATTCCAGAAACAGGTATATATTTTCTTATTAATTAAATGGAAAAGTCGGGAATTATATCTATAATATCTGCTTCGGAAGTTTCTGTCCAACTACATGTATTAATTTTCATGTGGCATTTACAGTTTTTTTTACTTTTGCAAATTAAGTGTCAGTGGTGTCTTGAAGATGTTTGTAATAAAAAAAATAAGCTTATCTAGTGAATAGTTTGATGACATTAAATTAAGGCCATTCCAAGTTTTTTCTATGTTTAGCGTCCACGTGCGCCTTGGTTTTTGACACCCTGTGTCAGAAAAAACAAACAGAATCAGGAGTCTGAAAATTAATTATTCAGGTCAAAATTTGTGATTACCGTAATTTACAGAATATAGGTCGATACTTTTTTCCTCAGAACCGCTGGGGTCGCCCAATATACAGAATTCGACCTATTTAAGGCTCAAGTTAACGAAAAATGCCCCCTAATCAGTAAAATTTACGTCAATTTCAAAGCAAATTTGTGCCACTTTCGTAACTTTTTTGATTATTTTTCGCAAAAAAAATGAATGCCCCGGTAAACAATAAAATATTTATTCTATAGCTTTCTTACAAAATAAATTCCATTACTTATCCATTGATGACAAAGGAAAACAACATTGCTTCATCTATTAAATAATTCCTCAACGTATTGTCCATTAACATCATGCAGTATCCATCTTGTGAAGTTAGGAAGTCGCAATCGTGTACTAAAAGTAAAACCGCAACCGTATCAAAATTTAAAATACGGAAATCTTTCACAATCACAACTGTAGTGTTTTTACCATTTATTAGTAGCGATAAATTGAAATAGTATATTAAATATTTTTTATTGTCTTATGTTTATTTAAATGTAAAATGAGTGAAATAATTTGTTGCCATTCAATTCCTAGATTTAATTACAAAAAAAAAACGCTATTCATTACTGGTTTTTTTTTTATTTTAATTAATTATAATACCGGTCAAACAAACTTATCTTGAATATACCGATACAAAGATTGGCTTCTAACAGAATTTTAATTGTCTGACAGATAAAGGGATTTACACTGTACGCAAAGGTGCTGAACACCTATATGTTAGTTTAAATGCCTGCGGGGCATGATTAAGAAACCCACGTGCCGTTATAGGGTATTAGTGTTACACATCATTGAACAAACAAAGCCGTGAAATTCATGTTGACAGTCAAATTGTGAATGTACTCTCAATTAAATTTATAAATTAAACTTAGAGAGTGTTAATATGATTTCAATTCTTTACTGTTGCTTGAAATATACATTCGATGGTCATTTGCGTGTTTTAGCAAATCCCTGGAGAAGAAAAAAAAAAATGGCGGACATCGAAGTAATTGTCGTCCATCGTTAAATAATGTCTGATAGTCTGGTCCTTATTCTTAAAAAGAAGGCTAGAAATAAGTTCTAACGGCATTTAATTATTATTTGGTCCAGCATAGTTTTTTAACCTATTTCGAGTATGCTGAATCCGAAAAAATATGCTGGCCTTCATGAAAATGGCGTTAAGTAGGTCAAAATGGCGATTCAAAATGGCGGACACCAAATTTTTCCAAATTCTCCGTTGAAGCCGCTCAACCTAGAAAAGGATGCCGAAATAGCCTTGAATATACTAATTTTATATTACAACATTACTAATAGCTGGAAATGAAGTACTTTAGTTAAATAATGCAGCCGTTTTCCTCCAAAATTCGAATTTTCTCTGTTTTTTTAAAAAAATCTTTTATTTCTTTGCATACATGCATGTTCATGCATTTTAGACTACTTCTTTTGCGTGGAATCATACTAAAAAAAAACAAAAATATAAAATATATTTGAATTCAATTTTGAAATAGAAATTAGCATAATAAAAAACCAAAGTTATATGCATTTAACATTAACAGTCCGCACACTGAATTCATGTTTGACTTAACAAATCTTATGAGACGTAATACAGTGCGTCATGAATAAAAGTTATGCGTAATACATTTCGTCATGAATAAAAGCTATGCATAGCTTATAGATAAATCATATTGTTTAACCAGTGTTTAAAACAATTCATTGATGGGGCTTCAAAATGACTGAATCATTAGGACGTAAACGAAAACATCAATACAATACCGATTTGTGTGTGATATGTCAGGACAGAAAACCAGATGTTTTAGAGTTAAAATCTAGAAATTCGATAGAAACATTAATTGAGAGAGCATCTCGTCGTTAAAAAGTTAAAGATGCTAAAAATTATGATGCTATTGATAGAATTGAGCAGCTGAGTTCAGCTGAAAGAGTACTCTGTCACAGGAAATGTCACAGTGAATTTATGCATCCAAAATCTATAAAAGTAATAGAAACAAAAGCTAGTGTCCTTGAAGATATTCCAAGGTCGAATACAGACTCAAAGAAATTACCGTCTACTTCTACGTCCTCCAATCTCTCCTCTTCAACGACCCGTTCATCGAGAAAGTAATTTTCTCCTGTAGATTGGGAGTTATGTATGTTTTGTCAAAAACAGAATCGAGAAAAGTTATTCAACATTACAACTTTTTCTGTAAGTGACATGGTCTTACAGAATGCCAAATATGACGAGGCATTGCGAGTTAAATTGGGGAATGTAAGCGATTTGATTGCTGCAGAGGGCAAATACCATTTAAAATGTATGAATGCATTTAAGTATGAAACGCAGAAAACAGAGAAAGAGTCCCAAGGTGAGGATCTAGCCATGATTTTTCTTGTTCGTGAGCTTGAATACGCAGGGAATAAGCACCAAATTTTGCAGCTTTCTGATATTTGGAATAGATACTGTAGACTGATCGAAGAGATTGCGTCTGAAATCCCTCAGTGTTACATTACGCGAAGATCGACATTCAAAAATAACCTACAAATAAAGGTGAAAAGTATCTTTCAGTTTATCCGTCCTATGGATAGAACAATCTCTGAACGCGAAACGCTTCTAGTGCCACATACTTGGTCTGCATCTCATTTTGGAGAAATATTCAATGAGGGACAAGGTATCACAGATGATAAATTTCTCACCATGCCATGTTATAAGCCTACACATAACTCTTTTCACGAACTTGTACATGTTGCATTGAAATTAAGATCAGATCTGCAAGATAGAAGTAGACATAAAGGTTTAAACGTGAGTGAGGACGATGCCATTGACTGTGTTCCAGAAAGTCTTCTCATGTTTTTAAATCTTCTTTATGGCGGGCAAGAACTTTTTGAAATTGCTTCCAGCGAAGAGCGTCCGGTGTGCACTAGACAAAAAAAAGTATTAAGTGTCGCTCAAGATATTGTCTATGGGGTGAGTGATGGTAAAAAGTGGACTCCAAAGCATATTGGCCTTGCTTGTACATTACATCAAATGACAAGATCAAAACAGCTCTTGAATTTATTCAATAGTGCCGGTCATACGCTTAGTTATAAGGACGTGCTTAGAATAGACACAGGTCTAGCAGAACGAAGCCTCCAGTCTATGGACGAGAGAAGTGGCCATTTTTTACCATTAAATTTAAAACCTGATGTTTTCACACATTTCACGGCCGATAATATAGACATTAGTGACTCGACACTGGATGGCAAGGACACTTTTCATGCAACGCAGATTGCTTGTTGGCAACGTATATCAGGAAATGACCTTGACCTGAAACACATATTTCCATCTGCAAAGGAGACTTTACAGGTACCTTCTCAGATAGACAGGATTGTAGAAACCACTGTAATAGAGGGGAAATCACAGCCCCTTTATCCAAAAGAAGTTACTCTAGATGTTTATAAAGCTCCTGATAAAGCAGATCAATCATCCTGTGATGCGTTTTCAAAAGAACTACTGTTTCATTTGAAAAGAAACAAACAAAATGTCCCAATTACTTGGTCTGCTTTTAATCAGTCAATCAGCAGCATAAATCCCGATCTCACTATCGTTGGTTACATGCCTATCGTACAAGCACCTGCTCACGAAATAGATACGCTTAACACAGTTGTCCAGAAATGCATGTACATATCTGACCGTCTTGGTCAACGTCATACTGTATTAACAGTTGATCAAGCTCTGTACTTCAAGTTGATGGATTTAAAATGGTCAGTTCCAGAATACAGAGACAGACTTGTGCCACGAATGGGTGGCTTACATATTGCCATGAACTTTTTGAAATGTATTGGAAATCATATGAGTGGTTCTGGTTTGTACGAACTCTGGATGGAATGTGAATTGCTCGGGCCCGTTGCTGCTCAAAATGTTCTAGCTGGAAAGCACTATAATCGCGGCATGAGAGCCCATAAAATCACTGCCCAAGCTCTCTGGAAGATTCTGCTTCCCAGTTTTTTGTTATTTGTAGCTAACAAGGACGTAAATCATTCACAAATATTGAATAGTGTTATGAATGAACAGAAAGACATAGGGTCTTGTTTAGAGCTACTGCAGGATACTGTGTATAGAGAATATTTTTTAAATTTCAGAGAGGAAATTACCAATCCAAATGTACTCTTTTGGTGGTCATATATGGATTTAGTTTCTATTCTCCTGGAATTTACAAAATCAGAAAGAGAAGGTTTGTGGGATTTGTATTTGTACTCATTCAGGGCCATGCTCCCATGGTTCTTTCGATATGACCATATAAATTATGCAAGGTGGGGTAGTGTGTATCTGGCTGATTGTCACCAACTGCCGCGTGAGGTTCTTGAAGAGTTCAAACAGGGCAACTTTGTTGTCAAAAGAAGCCAAGGAACATTTAATCAAGTGGATCCAGATCAAAGTCAAGAATGGCTTAACGCTACAGGTAAGAAGGGTGGTGGCATAGTGGGTATCACGAGAACTCCCTCTGCACTCAGTAGGTGGTCTCTTTCCTATAACTTAAGGTCACATGTAAGTTTTCTTACTAAAACCATGTACGACGTGAATCCAGATGACATACTCACTCACAAGGATGCATCAAAGAGTCGACAGGTCCTTGACTCAGAGTTTGAGGAATCACTAGTCAATGCAATGAAAAGGTTTAAAGTGCTTGACCCCTCCTACGAAAGAGATGAATTAATCAACGTGATCACAAAAGACAAGGCTACTGATCTTATTAGAGATTCGTTACTATCTTCAGCGCATTTGGGTCAAGTACAGTTGGAGAGTTTTGCTTCAGATCGTTTAATTCCAAACAAAGAAACGGGTACATTAAACGTTCCTTTGCACCATACTTTGAAAAAAAATAATCCTTTAACATTTGAATCCTTATACAAGGTACGGGTTGGTTCTCAAGCTGTTGAAAAAAGGAACATTCTGAAGGCTGACCGAAACATATTGCAAAGACTTGTCATTGCATACAAAGCAGGAAGGGAGGTTGATTTGGGGCTTATACTGAAGCACGAACTCCTACCAGTGCCTATTTCAATTGCAGATACTAGTGGTTCCTTGAAATCTGGAAACAAATCAGTTATACAGAATGAAATTCTGAAGGATGTGGAAGTAGGGGCGCGAGTTCAACATGAAAGTGATTCATCAGCTCTAATTATTGATGGGCAAGCATTGGTTCAGAGCCTTAGAACACATGGAATGAAAACATTTGGAGACTTTGCTGACGAGTTTGTTTCAACTGTTTTTAGAAAAGGAAGCAATTTCTCTAGGATAGATGTTCTGTTTGATCGCTACAGGGACCGATCAATAAAATCCGGAACTCGTTATCGCAGAGCAAAACGGCACCAACCAGTCAGAAGGATTGTTGAAAATCGAGACGTTCCTCTTCCAACTAACTTCGCTACCTTCTTGTCTTTGAACGAAAACAAGAAAGATCTTGCTGCCATGCTGTCTAAAGAATTAATTCTCCAAGCGCCTATTGGGAAAATCGTTGTTACTGCCGGGGGGGTTTGTAGATGAAACTGGTGTGAAATGCAATGATGATATGTTAGAATTGTCTACGCTAGAGGCCACGCATGAAGAGGCAGACACTAAAATAGTGCTTCATGCCATACACTGTTCTAAGGTATCCGCTTGCACTTCTATTGTCATTTTAGCATCTGATACTGATGTCTTATTGCTACTTATATCATTCTTTTCAGAAATAGATAGACATTTGTGGATGATTGCAGGAACCTTCTTAAAGCCAAAAAACATTCCTGTTCATGTTGTTGTTGAGAAAAACTTCTCTTCTCCAGAGTTACGCAAACATTTGGTAACATTTCATGCATTGACAGGGTGTGACACAACATCTTATTTCTATGGTATATCAAAAAAATCTTCCCTGCGGGTATTCAGGGATAATTATAAGCTACTCGAGGGCTTAGGTGAGGGAGAATTAACTGATCAGAAAATCAAAGAGTGTGAAAAGTTTGTCTGTAAGTTGTATAACCAAGAAGCGGAGACTACAGATACGGTAAGGAATGTATTGTTTGGGAAATCAAAAAGCCCTGAGAATATGCCTCCAACTAGTGATGCCTTATGCATGCATGTAAAGCGAGCACACTACCAAGCCTTGATATGGAGACAGGCAAACATTTGTAAGCCCTTATTACCATGTCCAACTGAAATGGGATGGAAGTTGGATGGTGGTTGTTTGGTGCCGATACTTATGAATTTAGATCCAATTCCAGAGGCTTGCCTAGATTTGGTAGTTTGCAACTGCACAAAAGGTTGTAAAACAGAAAGATGTAGATGCAAACGAGCCAGTCTGCGATGTATGGACCTCTGCAAATGCAAAATCTTAAACAGAGATGAATGTAGAAATAATAGCTAAAAACAGAGGAAATTCGAATTTTGGGAGAAAACGGCGTAATTTATTTAAATCAAAGTGGTTTATTATTAGTTGCTAGTTTATTAAATATATCAGATTATGTATATTTGGTTATTTAAGCATACTTTTCCCGCTTAAACACTGATAACAAAAATTTTGGAAAAATTTGGTGTCCGCCATTTTGAATCACCATTTTGACCTACTTAACGCCATTTTCATGAAGGCCAGCATATTTTTTCGGATTCAGCATACTCGAAATAGGTTAAAAAACTATGCTGGACCAAATAATAATTAAATGCCGTTAGAAGTTTTTTTTATTGTAAATCGGACCAGACTATGAATAAAACTTATTAGGAATGTGTCCAAGTTGTTCTGGAAACGGAATTACTATTCTTTGGTCTCGGGTATTTCCCGAATTATAGCTGTAAAATAATAACGCATTTACGTGTTATTTATGCCTCTGATTTAACAACAGTGTGAAACTACAGAGGCATTGAACAGGCAAGTTGGAGAAAAATAAGAAGTAACACAATTCAAAGAAGTTTTAACTACATTTTTTAAAAACTTTATTTAAATGCTATACTCATTAAAATACCAGTTTATTTTCTTGATACGTTCATTTCACGGAATAACCCCGGTAATTATAGGGGTTTACCTGTTCTGATACGCTGTATCTGCGTAAGAATCTTTAGAAAACGGGAAACAAAGCCTCGTCCTATATTGTAAGTTCGACCTATCTTAGGATTTTTCAAAAATTAAGGCTGAAAATGAGCCTTTCGACCTATATACCCCATCGACCTATAATCCCGAAATTACGTTAATTCCGGCAATATCTCTAAATATTTCAGACTTGTCGAAATTTTTTAATCGCTGTCAGACATTTGGTCTGACACAGTCGAATGTTTTGTTGGACCAGTCAAACTTTTGTCAGACCAGATACCGGGGTACTTGTATGTTATTTTGATGCTGGTAAAATCATATGAATAACGGCACCAAAAAGTCTTTTTTTTTATATTATCATTAGCCTTTAATCTAACAAGTTTCCTTTCTTGGGATAGAGAGTCTTTAACATAGACATAAATGACAAGTTTTATGACTTTGGTATAACAAATTTACTTAGCTATCGTCAACTTTCTGTGTACGCGCCCATTTTTTCTGTGTTTGTGACCTTGAACTACGCATCCCGATCCCGACCTTTATTAAATTTACATTACGCTCATTTTCTTTTCAAACGGACATCTGGACCGACGTTTTCTTAAATGTTATCGGTCCAGACAAATTTTTACCAGCCTTGCCGACAGGACCGACGAATTTCGACAAGTCTGATATTTGTATAATATTTCATTATTGGAAAAGTTTCAGTATTTAATACCTTGATTTTGCTGAAGAAAATAACTTTCTTTATGAAAAATAGATAAATGAAATCATATGTTTTGAATTACATCATTCTTATTAGTATAAAATATGTGTTTTATTTTTTTTTGACTTGTGTGTTTTTTGTGAATAGGTAGCTAGGTTTTTGAAAGATGGGTGGACGCTAAACAGAGAAAAAACTTGGAATGGCCTAATGTTTAATTTATTAAACATAATAGATAAGAACATGATGAGAGAAATATTTCTATTATGTATTTGCATGTATTTTGGTAAACTCAGAAAAAATTTTCATTTTACGTACATTGTTCATATTGCAAGAGAAATTTATGAGTGTTCGAATTCTGAAAACCTTCATGTACATGTACATGTATCACTTTCATACAATTTTGTCTGATTTTTATGTCATGTATGTGGGCTGGTAGATAAGAAAAATTGATACACAAACAAAAGACGGAAAAGTTTGTGTTTCTTTTATGATTCAGTCAAGAGTTTTCTATTTCTGTCCCTTAGAAAAGTATTGAAATAAATAGCATGCAATTCTTACTTTAAACAATGAATTAAAAAAAGCAGTTTTACATGTAGGAGTGTGCATCTTGAACACAAGAGAGTAAATGTTTCAAGTTGATAAGATGTTTAGGTCTAAAACTGCCCATTAGGCCAAAAAAAATTAATCAATAGTTTCTCAGGCACCGCCGCATCAGTTCAAAAACGGCCGCATTGATCATTTTTATTGACATATTGAAAAGGGAAATAACTCAATTTTCTATTAATTTTTCCAACTTGTAAAAGAAAATCGAGTTATTCCCCTTTTCATAAATGCTAAGATAGACGTTTTTATTAGAAAAACAATATATTTCTTCTTAATTTACAGTATTTTATGAATTAACTTTTAAATAAATGTTTACAATAACATTATTTAAAGTTGAATACATATTAAAACTAATTTCAGAGAACAAAAATTAAGAAAAAGTAGATATAATCATTTTATTGAACAAATGGCTTAAAAAAGGTGTGAAACTTGCTTCAAAAAAAAAAAAAAAAAAAAAAAAAAAAAAATGCCTGCCTGCCGCATTGAAATTTGAATTTTTTGGCCTGAGAAACAATTAATTAATTTTTTTTTGCCTTATGTGAGAAGACCTAACCGCCCTCCAACAGTCCATTCCTCTCAAAGAAAAAAAGACAGTTTTTGGCTTATAACCTTTACATAAAAAAATAGTATTCAGCCTGCTATTAGAATTATCTTATATCTTTATCATTCAGATGAAAATTCCAGTGTTGCTGATTCGGAGTTTATTGATGCACCAATCTTTAAGCAACCAGGAGAGCCTCTTCACCAAAGTCAGGCATTGAGATGGAACCACAAGGTAGTGGCAGCTTATTGACTGTCAATACATTGTCACTCATTATAAACATGGTAGATGTTAGTTATATTTTAGCTCACCTGAGCTGAGGTTAATGTAGATTCTAAGTTAATCAAATCATGACCCCCAGTTGTGGGAGAGGACCATAATAGGGAATCCAAGTTTTACATTCAAATACTGTATAAGCAGAATTTTTAGCGAGGATTTAATTTTGCCATTACAGTGGCTGGAACGTTATTGTTGACAAACCAATCGTGTAGAATCGTTTGTGTATCATGAATGATCGTTCGTGTAACTTGCGAGATCGTTCGTGTATCAGACTCAATCGTGTGCGTTTTAAATCGTGCGAGATTGTGTGTTTAGAATCGTGTAAATTTCGTTTTGCAAGTTTTTATCAGAATGTTATTTGTAAAATAAGCATTTCCCTTGTTTATTTTTCTTAATTTATTAATTAAATCCAAATAAAATGAAAAAGCGCAATTTACATAAAAGAATGCAGAACGAACTAATTATCTCCCGTAAACAAGCAATATAGTAAGTCGTACAATATTGAGTTCTTGTCAAATAGCGCGATCATTATTGTGATAAACCGTACTTAGATCTTTAACGCCTTTTTGAAAAATCTGATTTTAATTATTATTTACTTCTTATTGTGGTCAAGATAATATTGAAATCAATTCATTGAAAATAAATATTTTTTTTAGAAAGAAATAAACATTTCTCATTGCTTACATAACTAGTTAGTCGACAAATATACATGGACACGGCATGATTTTCGGGAGTTTTGATCATCTGTGTTTATCTTTTGAGCCTATTTGTAATTAATTAATTTTAAATTTCTGCAAATAAAAAAGTTGAATAATGGGCAAGTTTATGAGACATTGAATCATTGGAAACATAGGGATAAAATTTGTAATTATAATTTAAGTCATTCCATGCTGCCATTTTTGTTCAATCCTTTCCCCTTTCTGCATATCATGATATCCAATTCAATCAAATTATACGACCCACATACATGTACATCGTCTAATAGAACGAACAAAATCCGTTTTTTTTTAGCGGAGAATTACTTATTTAATTATTAATTATTTTTAATCTAAAATATTAAGTCTTGCATATATGTAGTTACAGAAATATCATTTTCCGTTTTTTCTTCAAAGTTTATGAAATAATACTGATAATTCTTTGAAATCTTAAATAGGTATTAAGCCTTTTTTCGTTTTGAAAATATTGAATCCTAAATATTTTGAACTATTTTGAGTGAAGAATCGTGCGTTTGCGTTAACAATCGTGTAAGATCGTGTAACTGTAGAATCGTGAACGTGAAAGATCGTTCGTGTAACAGGTTTAATCGTGCGTTAATCGTGCGGAATCGTTCGTGTAAGGTGATCGTTCGTGTAAGTTGTCAACAATAACGTTCCAGCCACTGTATTAGCGAGGGTGCCAAGATCGCTAAAATTGATTATCGCTAAAAATTTATTGAGCTTTATTTGTAATAGCTATTTAAGTAAGCTTTTTAGGTCACCTGAGTAAACTCGGGTGACCTATTGCTATCTCTTCGTCCGTCGTCGTCAGTCGTACGTCGGTCGTAAACTTTTGAACATTGTTAGCTTCTTCTCTGCAACCACTGAACCAATTTCAACCAAATTTGGTACAAAGCATCTATGGGTGAAGGGGAACAAAAATTTTGAAATTCAGGGTCCCTGCCCCCCTGGGGCCTTAGGGGTGGGGCCAAAACCACTAAAATTAATGCAATCTTTAAAAATCTTCTTCTTTACTCCTGGACATCAAGCAGTCAAACTGTAGACATGATTGTTATCAGTATTAAGTCCTCTACCAAAATTTTGAAATTCATGGCCCAAGGGTCAGGGGTTCTAGTGTTAGGGTGGGGCTAAAACGAGTATATAGTGAAAATGCATTATTTCTTTGAAAATCTTCTTCTCTGCTCCTGGGTAATAAATAAACTAACTAAATGCATAGTTGTGATGAGCAAGAGTGCCTCTACCAAAATTGTGAATTTTATGGCTCCAGGGTCAGGAGTTCTGGTGTAAGGGCGGGGCTCTATTGATTATGTGAAAATAAAGTAAAAAAAATTAATGAAAATACATGAATTCTTTGAAAATCTTCCTCTCTGCTCCTGGGTATTAAATAAACTAATTAAGTACATAGTTGTGATGATCAAGAGTGCCTCTTCCAAAATTATGAATTTCAAGGCCCCAGGGTCAGGGGTTCTGGTGTTAGGATGGGGCTCTATTGATTAAATAGTGAAAATACATGAATTCTTTGAAAATCTTCTTCTCTGCTCCAGTGTCATAAATAAACTAACTAAGTACATAGTTATGTTGAGCAAGAGTGCCTCTACCAAAATTATGAACTTTATGGCCCCAGGGTCAGGGGTTCTGGTGTTAGGGGGGGGGCTCTCTATTGATTATATAGTGAAAATACATGAATTCTTTAAAAATCTTCTTCTCTGCTCCTGGGTATTAAATAATCTTATTAAGTACATAGTTATGATGACCAAGAGTGCTTCTTCCAGAATTGTGAATTTCAAGGCCCCAGGATCAGGGGTTCTGGTGTAAGGGCGGGGCTCTATTGATTATATAGTGAAAATACATGTACATGAATTCTTTGAAAATGTTCTTCTCTGCTCCAGGTTATTAAGCAGATGAACTACTGATATAGTTATGATGAGCAAGAGCCCTTCTTCCAGAATTGTGAATTTCAAGGCCCCATGGTCAGGGGTACCATAGAGAAGGGGGGGGGGGTTCTACTCTTATATACTGAAAATGAATTGTTTGAAATCTGCTAGTTTGTATTAATCAAATATTTTTGATAAGCAAGGGTGCCTTTTCGAAAGTTGTGCAATGTGTGGACCTAGGGTCAGGGGTTCATTTGTGGTAGAGTCACTACTGATTATTGCTGAATATTACTGATTAGTTGAAATGCATTTTTTGTTCCCCTACTTTGCCTATGGGTATTAAGTAACCAAACTAAGCAATTGTTAAGTATATAGTTATGATTAGCACTGGTGCCTCTTTCAAAATTGTGAATGCCATAGCATCTAGCTTAAAATATGAACCAAATTCAATCATTGGAAAGTTGTTGCATGATACTCAGGTGACCTATAAGGCCCATGGGCCTCTTGTTAAAATCACTAAAATTACATCTCGCTAAAAATAAAATACAAATTTTATGGATAAATCACTAAATTTGCGTCTTGCTAAAATTTCCACTTATACGGTATATAGGAAAAATCTTCTTCTCAAGAACCACTGAAACTCATTTGGAACTATCCTGGTGTTTTGAAAATACTGAATTAGTGTAGAAGTACTTTTTTCTGCATGGTATAAATTTACGCTTTGTACGCAGTCACAAATTTCCTGTCCCATCGAACTAGATGCAAATATAAGGCAAATAGGGAGAGTCTAAAGATATCCGCGTAATTTTCTACCCGCGGATTGAACAGAAGTAAAGATTCCTTGGAATTTTGACCCTGTGGGAAAAAAGTGTTTCTATAGTAACCAAATCATGACACCCTGGCATAGGATGGGGCCACAATAGGTATGACGAAAAGGAAAATCTTGTGAAGAACAGCATGTTTAAAGTTACCTAGATGAGCGTTGTGGCCCATAACCTTGTGCCCCTTGCCGTTACTTCCTTTTCTGTTTGCTGTACGATGTGACATAAAAGTACTTTTATCTTAAAATTGGACTGTATCAGAACATAAATCTTTATTTGTCCAATAGGTGCCAATATTCACCATACAGGTTTATACAAATGTATATTAAAGTATGCACTCACCACTGTTCATTTGTTCTTTTAACATTATAAAAAGTTGTACTTAGGGCAAATTTTGGGAAAATTTTTTAGCATAGACAAAACCTTATCCTAGCTGCATTTCATATTTTAGGTAAATCTTATCCCTGCTTGTAGGTAAAATCTTATCCATATTGTAGGTCAATCTTATCCCTTCTTGTAGGTAAAATCTTATCCATATTGTAGGTAAAATGTTATGCCTGTTGTATCTCTATTGAAGGTTAATCTTATTGGAGAGAAAGTCGTGGATCCCCTGATTCATTGCTGTGACAAATGTAAATTGCCCATTCTCATCTATGGTCGTATGGTAGGTTACATTGTCAAAAAATGAGTTATGTTACTACATTGTCAAAAAAGTTATTTTCATTAAATCAAATGCAAGATTCACTGTGCATGAAAATTTCATGTTTTCTTATATTGCATAATATATGGATTATATACACTGAACAATAATGACCAGAATTTGAACAATTCTTATTGCAAAAAGTTTGGTTATCTACGGAACTCTATGATAAAATCTCGACGTTTCATTATTCAAGTTGATGTATTACCGGTAATACCAACATCAGTCTACAAAATTAAATATAGTTTCTTTTTCTGCTACAGATTCCATGCAAACATGTATTCTGCTTTGACTGTGCAAGAAAGACAGATAAAGTTTGTCCTAGGTAAGGTTTATTCTGTCAGAAAAACTTAATACTTTGGGAGTGCGTTTTTAACTCCAGGTGTCTATGAATGTATTATAACATTCTTCAACATAACTTTCACTTTAATTTTGAATTATTTGGTTATTATTAGGAAAAATCAGGTAGGAATTGTACTTATAGCTGTTAATATTCTGCATGAATTGTAGGTGTGAGGAAAATGTCCAGCGCATAGAACAGTCAGCACTTGGGACCGTGTTTGTCTGTAGCTACGGGGGGCCTAAGCATGGGGATGGAGGATGTAGACGTACTTATTTGTCACACAGGGACCTTCAAGCCCACATCTACCACAGACACATGAGGACTGACTCCGCAAAGTCCTCCTCTTCTACTAGCCAGGCAGCAGGGGCAGGTAAACCTGTGGTAGAACAGTACACAACCTCCAAAGTAAGCTCAAAATCGCAGCACTCTACACCAATCATAGAGCAGTACACAACAGCAGCCGGACGACACGCCAGTGGAGAGAGTCATCTGAATCTCCCCCACTCTCGCCCGAGTGACGCCATGTATCAACAGTCCATACTGGGTCAGATACCACCCCAAGCCCAGGCTTTACCCACTCAAGCCATGCTGCAGGGTCCTCCTCCTAGACTCCCCCTATCACAGGGACAGCCCCCAGCTCAGGCAATCATACCTGGACAACAAGCTGATAGTTACCAACTTGCCTCTATGTCAGCACTAGCACCTGGAAGGAAGACTAATCTTATCACTGTACCACTACAGGATGACTCTGACTACAGACGGAGAGACCTAGCAGCTGGGTACGGTTCTCTGCCTCCATCAACCTTTTCCACGTCATTGCCCCCACCTGGTGGTATCGCTCAAGCTTTTCCATCCATGCATCAGGGTCCCCAGGCAACATCTATTGCTGGTTTTCCTCCCTCTGGCCCCCCTCCTTTCACTTCCCCTCCGTTAAGGACTCAGTTGCCTGTTTCATCAGGAGTTAGTGTTCCGATTTCCCATCCCCCACCAATCAGCGTACCTACCCCCAATCTCGCAACCCCTCCCCCTCCACTGTTGTCTGGCCCCAGGATGCCAATTCAAGGTGGTCAGCCACCCAGATTTGGAAGTCCCCAAGGTCATTTCAATGACAGTTACAGTCAAAGTGCCCCTGGGGGTCAAAATACTAGGGGGCCATGGACTGGCCCCCCTCCACAAAGAAGTTCTGGGGGTCAGTCACAAAGGTCCCAGTCAGAAGGTTACCAGTACTATCAATAGACATTGTTTAGGTACAAACTCTTTTTGATTCTTTTTGAATTGATTGAGATAAATGCTTGTTATTCTAGTATTTTTTTTTTTCTTTTCATTACTTAATATCTTAAAAGTACATGTATTGATTTTGTGTTATGGATACTGTGTTCATGTACAATTTAGATTTATATACAGGCAGTGCTACAAGTATAAATTTTGTTAATATGTGTATTTTGCTTATGTTCAATGTTTTAAGTATTTGAACTTTAAGAAAAATACTTCTAAAATGAACACAGGTAGTGATAAAAATATTTCAGATATTTTTTCAGATGTTATTAATAATAAAAAAAAATGGTATACAATTGTGATTAAATTTTATGAATGTATATTTTGTTGTTTTTTATCTCAAGTTTTTTTATTACCTCAATCATGTTGGAGGAGCTAATGTAGTGGTGTTGGGGCCCCAGATTAACGTCTTTGAAATATATATTGACACGCAAAAGAAACGCAACAAGCAGCAATCTACAAATGTTTGAATTTTTTATCTAATGATTTTCAAAAAAGAACACAGTAAGGCTAAACTCACTTTTCAGAACATCAGAGATTTGATAAAAATTTTAAATGTTTATCTTTTAACTTTACTAAGTAACATAGGGATATAAATGTTAAAACACCCCCTCCCAGCCATTCAATTACAACGTGCAAGACTGCTCTAAACAACAATTGCAGCTTAATTTCTACGATACAGTAGGTTAATCAATATCGAGATTTGAGCGAAGGAATTACTCTTTGCCATTTTTAAATGCCTATTTTTCAGATGAGTAGGTCGAATTTTCTCTGACTTAGCGCATTGTAGTTACCCTTGGACTTCCGGTCCAAGGACTATCATTCATGCATATGATACATAAGACCCCGTTGAGGCGTAATGCAGTGTATTTTTGCATCATCAACTCTCCATCACTTTTACGTTGAGATTTTCCAGTTAGAGCAATGGAAATGCGTACATAAGCCATTTTCGAGAAGCCTTAGCATCGTTACGGGAAACGAAAGGAGATTTTATTTTTTGAAATATTGCTGCATTACTTAAGATGAACAGTAGAAACCCTTAAAAACTCCATAATATTGCCAAATGTTTAGTTAAACATGCAATTTTTGATTTCTGTTAAGCAGACTCAAACTTGACTTCCGGTTATGGTACGAAAATCGTTCAACCGTTAAATCATCGATATTTACCAAATTGAAGATATCCATAATTTTAAGATACAACATTACTCTACCTAATTATTTCCCCCTAAACACTGCTAAAGTAGGGTGTTGCGTTTCTTTTGCGTGTCAGTATATTTCCTCTCAGTTATTTCTTGTCTTATATTACTTTGAGATACCTATGTATATGAGTGATTCTTCTTGTAAGTTTCAAGGTTTCAGATGCTGCAATTTCAGCAAAAATTAGGAAATACCAGGTTATTGTTTTTAATCATAGGTTTTAAGATTTTGAAGCAGTTCTCATTTCCAAGTAACTGTAAGCCTTATACTCTCCTGCGAAGTGAAGAGTGGCAAGAAAGTTGAAATTTCCTCCATTTTTCTCATTGGCTGCTATTTATACTTTAACAAGGCCGGATCTGACCTAGATAAATATCCACACGGACAGCAATTAAGCATATTAGGGAGCTGGCCACACCTCCCATCTGATAAGACTGCAGAGTTATGCTATTAATAGATAGCAGCTTGCCACTTACACGTGCTTAAAATAAGACAACAAAGATTGTGCAAATACATAGATATTTTAATTATTTCTACGTTTAGAAAATATATGTTTTATGTAACGCCACCAAATGTTTTTCCTGAACTGAAATTTTTGTTTTTTATAGTTCTTTTGGACCTTTACTATGACTTTTATTCGGGTATTGTAGATAAAATTACACCGATTGACCAGGTCAATAAAAAATCTGCAAAATTGAAAAAATAAAAAATATAAAATAAAAGCCGCCCGCCCGCCTCGATTTTAAAAAAAAATCGGATGAGAATCTAGCAATTTATTTATTATGGCCTAATATAAACCAAACTTGCTCGATTCAGCCAGGGATTGACACTACCAAACTTGATATGAAAGTTTTTATCTATACAAATACTTTTATACTAATCATCTTGAAACTTCCATCTTTGAAATCCTTATTACTAAAACTTTTTTTTTCAGTCTAAAGGTATAACTTTCCATTACAAAAGAATAAAAGGTGTTTTCTAAATTTTTAAAATTTGAATCAGAGGGATGGGAGGCAAGAATGCGGTTTAATGTTGGCTATATAAGAGTTTTCAAAACTGAACGTCCTAGTCCCTTATCAAAAATAAAATTGCCTTCCTGCAAACATTTGCTGCAAGTCTGCAGATATTGCTGCAAGCTTCCTGCAATGCAGCTTAAGAAACCATGACGGCCTATACAAACTTAAGCCTTTGTGTTTGCAACTGCAACCATTTTACCATGTAAATGAGGTTTAGTCTGCAGCAGATATTGGATTTTCCAAATATGGAAACATTGCAGCATGCTTGCGGCAAACAATTCAGTTATTGTTTTTGAAATATTCCTGCGTACAAGCAGCAAATTCGTAGAAAGCCTTCATATTGACTTTAATCTGTTAATCACGGAGAAAATTCACCTCATGCGTTTGGAATGATACAAGTTCATCGATATAAAGGATATACGCAACGTAGTTTGAACTTTATTGGGTTCTTCCCTGCAGTTGTGGGGTTGTTCCCTGCAGTTGTAGAGTACCACTAAATAAAGGAATTATGTGCAATACTTTTACTTCCAACAATCTATTGGAACCCATGGGTACAAATTGCGCTCCGATATTATAGCAGACATATTTTTATATTCATATTTAGGGTCATTTTCAAAAAAAGTCCATTTTCTGAATGACATATTTTTGAAAAATGAAAGTGGTTTTCCTATGATTTTTTCAACTTTATTTGAATAATACAGTAATAATAAACTACTAAAATCCACTGCATTGCATAAAAGAAAATATTTCTTTTAAAAAATATTGACATTTTATCTTAGTCATTTAAACTTTAATGTCCTTTCTGTTACTTTCATAAAAAGAGCTGTAAATCTCTATTTCAAAATTTTCATCACATAATCTTTTGTATATAGTTAAAAAAGGAAAAAAAATATCATTGAATGCCGAGATGTCTGACATTCATCTAATATATATGAGCGTTTAAAAGCATGTCAATTTAAATACCATATACGAAGCAAAATCTACGGGTTTCTCTTCATGAAAAGCCTTATTGCAGAATGTTTATATGCTATAGTTGAAAAAAACATTCTTGTACATTATTTTTGTGATTAGAATAAACAATTACAGAAAGTTATTTAAACATGTGCTCTGCCAAAGCAATTTAAACTAGGAAAATATACTGGTAACAGTAAGGACTCGGGTAACAGGAAGGACAAAACAGTAACAGGATGGACCAAACAGTGTAACAGGATGGACAATGAAATCTACATTTTAAATAAAAATTGACTTTTTTTTTACTTTATTGGTTAAGAAAAGAGAAAAAAATGTAGAATAAAAACATAATTTTGTCAAATCTGGCAAATTCGAGACAATAAAAGATATTTATGTCCATCCTGTTACAAAATTTAATTGTAAAGTGCTATTAAAATATTTATCACTTCAATTTTTGTTTATTAAAGATACTCTTTGCTGTTGCAAAACTAAGAATTTTTCATAATTTTAAGAAAAACAAATGATAAAACTTAAATAGGTATATAAATACCAGGATAATTTGTCCCTCCTGTTACAATTTCTGTCCATTCTGTTACAAGAGTGCATGTTTAAGTTATAATGGCACTATTTGAAGCACAAACAAATTTCAATATGATTTATAAAGTTCTTAACATGTGTTATTAAACTTATATTACTTAGAAAAATAAAAGTAATTGTTTTTATTGTTAAAACTCAAGATATGAAGTCCAGTTTTCCTTACTGTTACCATATTAATGGTAACAGGAATGACAGTAACAGGATGGATGTTTCTCATATAAATCACCAGTTAGGTAGTATAACGTACTCTTTTTGTATCATTGAGACATTGAAACCATTTCTTTGTAACTTAGTTAATCTAATTGTTCTAGCAGAATAAACAATTTAAAGAGTACTTGCATAATATGAAGGTAACACATAGGACGTATTTTAATTATACTCTACCAATAAGACAAACTTATCGACCTTTGAACCCTTTCTTTACTCACTTTCAAATCATGGCGCTCATAAACTTGAGACAACAGAAAATGATGATATAATGTGGATCATGAAAACAGTTCCTAGGAAAGTGAGATAACTTTTATTTTAACATTTTCTTTTTGGTAACAGGAATGACATAAACTTGTAGGACATATCACTTCCTGAATGTTAAATGCACAATACTAGGATTTAGTGGGCGGCATAAGTAAAACAATCATATTAAATTAATCTGTAAATGAATTCAATTAATATGAGGTGCGAAATTTGTACATATATTCACACGGTAATATTTTCCCCATCATTTAACTAAGCATGTTATAAAATTTTTGTTGAAGTGACATGGTTTTACTGTTAAATTTTGCTCGGAATGCATAGAATATTTTTTATAAAACACCTGAGATGATCATAAAATAACTTATAAGCTGTATGACCATGTATATTAACCAACGGGGAAAAAAATTTCCCTCTTAAGAATGGTTTTCCTATTATTCTGATCAAAAGACAAAAAAGTGAACTTTTTTTGAAAATGACCCATTAATCAAAATTTGTGCAAAATCCTATGCGTGAAAAGAAGAAAACACTTGCTGTGGCCTTCAACTCGACAATTAGATATATCGGCGTCGTATTGTCAATTAACAATGTATGTAGATACGATATATCCTGGTGAGCTTGAGATAAAAGATACCGCAGAGTCTGACACATCTGCTAAATTCATACCTGGATATTTTACCTGAAAAAGACGTTCATACAACCAAGCTCTATGATAAACGTGACGACTTTAACTTTTCTATTGTCAACTTCCCTTACTAATGCAGCAATATACCTTCATTACCTGCATACGGAGTTTATATATCTCAGTTGATTCGATATGCAAGAGCATGCTATACGTATGAACAGTTTCTTAAAAGAGGTAGGTTACTGACAGACAAGTTGATGAAATAAGCATATATATCTGCAGTCTCGTTTAAAGTCATCATTTCGTAAGTTCTATGGTCAATACAATGACCTTGTCAGCAAATACAATTTATCGTTGAGTCGAGTGCTGACTGACGT